CCTTATTCAACTGGAGGAAATGATTGGCTGCAATACCTAGATATGTTACCCAAAAAGTGAATCTGGACTTGCATCAGAATAGTGAGTCATTTCATGCCCTCTGTTAAAGGTAGCTGGAAGGGTCACTCTGGTAATAGACTGCTGCCTTATTCTGGAGGTGAGCTTTTTTTAAAGACATGTAAGTGTTTGAGGTGTGCTGGGATAGGCTCAGTGGGGACCTGAAGTACAGCTGAATATATCCAAAGCCCCTCAGTTCTGCTGAGATGCCTGTCATCTGCCCCAGGGATCTGCTGCCTCTCTGCATCTGTTTCGTAGTAGATGTCACCTGAGAGCGGCCTTCCGGACCCTCATCTAAAGTAGCAGCCTCTTCTCTCTTGTTTGCTTTTGCCTCAAAGCACTGGTCACTGTTTGACAGCAGGGCCTGGTACCCAGTCATCTGTAAATATTTGTTGAGTAAAAGAATCTGAAGAGAATGAACGACCTGAGAATATAAGCTCAGGTCATCTGGTCCCCCCATCCCCAGCCTCAGCCCTTCCCCTTTAAGTTGCCCATCTTCAAGGGCTGGGGGAGAAAGGCTAAGGGAAATTGGGAGCAGGTAGATTTCCACATTTTGCTCTGGGATTTTTTTTTTTTTTTTTTAGACAGAGTCTCGCACTTTCGCCCGGGCTGGAGTGCAGTGGCGTGATCTCAGTCTCACTGCAATCTCCGTCTCCCTGGGTTCAAGCGATTCTCCTGCCTCAGCCTCCTGAGTAACTAGGACTACAGGTGTGCATCACCATGCCGGCCAGTTGTTTTTATTTTTAGCAGAGACGGGTTTCACCATGTGTCAGGCTGGTCTTGAACGCCTGACCACAAGTGATCCACCTGCTCAGCCTCCCAAAGTGCTGGGATTACAGATGTGAGCCACCGTCGCCTGTCTGCTCTGGGATTGATTCTCAAAACTTTCGTCCCATTTCGAGGGCGCAGTTCTAGTAACTGGAAGGGAGAGTTCTGAGAGATGCATAATAAAATGACCCGCAAGCTCTGCTGCAGTCAGCGCTGCCCTGCTGGCGCTCCAACTCAGTGTGTCCCAGGCTTGCTTTTCACCAACTCCCCTGCCTCTCCTACTAAATCTTGGCACACCACACTCTTCGCCATTTTAGTCTTTTCCTCCAATCTCTGTTTTATGTGGGTCCACAGAGGAGCAAGATTTAAAATCACAAAAAGGTCCAGGAGTTAGATCATTTTGAAGAGCTGCTGACTGAGTGGTCTTGCCTTGCCATTTGTTTATTAGACTGCGTCCCGCCCTTTCTACGCCGTGGTCTAAAAGCATCCGTGTACTGGAAGGAGAGGGGCTGCCCAGGGTGCCTGCCCAGAGGCCCAGGCTTCTGATGACAATTCATTATGGAAAAGCTGTAAAACAGTCCGCTGTATAGCCTCCCTCTTTAAATCACCACAGGGGAACACGAGGCGAATGGGATGGGGTGGGGTGGAATCCCTGGTGTGCCCTGAGTCCTGCCCCACAGAGTGACACCAGGATCCCATGTGCTCTTCACATCTCCTATCCTGGAGGACCCAACGTTAGAGTTCCCCACGGACAGAACAGAGGAAACTGAGGTAGGGCGAAGCGATGCTGAAATCATTTTTTTTTCCAGCACCTGGCACACTAACGCGTATGAGACATGGCAGAGAAGGATCTAGATCAGAACCCTGCAGCCTGCACCTGCCAGCCTGCCATCCCCTTACGTTCTCCACCTTCTGCTCTGTATGATCTTCCGCTCGCTTAGGGTCAGGTATCAACTTGACTTGAGGCGTTTCATGAGAAAGAAAGCCGGGGCGCGGAAAGTTTCCATCAAACCTACTTTTCCTCTTTTTTCTTTTTTTTTTTTTTGAGACGCCTGAGTCCGCTGTGTCGCCCAACGCTGGGAGTGCCAGTGGCCGCGATCACTTGGCTCACTGCAAGCCTCCGCCTCCCATGGTTCACGCAATTCTCCCTCCGCCGTCCGAGTATCTGGACACAGCGCCCGT